ATGGATTGTTTCTATGCAAAGTTAGTTCCACCTTCACTCACCAATTTCAATATATTTATTTCAGAAAATGTAATCAAAGAGGTTAAACTTGCCCTAAGTCTGCATAGGAAGATGGGACTGTCTTTTACCACTCCACCCTTTTCACCCAAGGGTTTCCACGGTCTGCTTAGATTCCAGCTGCACGAGTTAAATAAAGTCTCCTCCACATTTAATACCAGCACACACAAAGGATGTATTTATTTACAGTCTTTTTTTTTTTCTCTGTCTCTTGGCTGGGCCTTGGGCATTCACTGTAAATATCAAAGTTATTGCTGTTCACCAAAAATACTAGAGAAAGGTACAACATTGACAAGCATGGGAGAAGAAAAAAGATACCGATGGCTCGTCAGGCCTGATATTACGACTGTGTTATTTCTAATCTGCACAATAGCCGAAGGGCCTGCATTCCGAGCCGATTAGAAAGTAACTTGCAACACAAAGACGGTCTTTAAAAAATGGAAGAAAAAGAGCAAAACAATAAAAGGCACAGGAAAAATATGAAACGTGTAAATCCACTGTTCCGGTGTGGAATGGGCACTTAAAAACAAACCACAGAAATTCTGGGGAGGGGGAGGGAGAATGTCTTCAGTCAGCCCTAAGAAAACATGAACAGTAGTTCCCAGGTGCATCGGCCTGGTGCTGCATTCCATAAGCAGAGCCCCACAATGATGGGGGCACCCACCAGCAGGATCTTGAAAGATGACCACAGGCCCAGGGAGGAGAATTCCCTAAAACAGGGTTTCACAACCTTGGCAACTTTAAGACATGTGGACTTCAACTCCCAGAATTCCCCAGCCGGCATATGAATTCTGGGAGTTGAAGTCCACGTGTCTTAAAGTTGCCAAGGTTGAAAAACCCTGCCTTAAGATATCGCCTGGGTCTAGCCTGGGCAATTAGAGGGATAATAATTAGAGGCAATCTGAGTAAGGCATACTTGTGCATAGCCATAGTGTAAATACACCGAATCCAGTAGAATGTCGTTCCAGGTGAGCACAGGAAGGAGCTGCTAGAGCTGCAGACTGCTACACTGTACATTCCTAGTATCTAGTTTTGCAACTACCGTCATAAATTAGCAGTTGAAGAGTCCCACAAGGGGAAGCACTTCAGTCAGCAGAAACACCCCAGTAGATTTATCTCTGATTTGAAAAGGTTCCTGTTTCTCATTTCCAGAGGGGCAGCTATATTAGCCAGTTGCAGGAAAAGCAGCAAAGAGTTTTATGGCATCTTGAAGATTAACACATTTATTAGGGTGTCAGCTGTCATGGGCTACGGTATGCTTATCTTTCATCAAATAAAGGCTCATGCTGTAATGAAAATGCTCATCTTTATGGTGCCACAAGACTCTAGTGTTTTTGCTGCTGCGGACTAACAAGTTTCTCTCCACTTTTTTTTTTAAAATAATTGAATGCTTTTAAGGATTCTCTTAACTGCTGCATTTCTTAATGTTGTGGTTTCATTGTAAGTTGCCTCAACCATTCAACAGAAGGCTGGACAATTCAGAAGTATGTAAGATAAATAACTGACAGAAACATACAACTTTTTACCTGTGTTTTTTTTTTAATCCTTTTCTGCTAGCTTCTAAAATCCAAAAATAGTCAGATATCTAGCATAGGAATCATAGACTTAGAAACTCAAGGAAAAGAGCTGACTTGTTCCAGTTTACGTTTTGCCAAATAAGTGTCTTGCCCATTCTATAAAAATGCCATCTCACAGTCTATGGACCATTTATTGGTATGCATCAGCTTCAGATCATATGTAACCCAGTTTGATCTACCCCAGTCAGTCAAATGAAAGATGGGTCTGCTTTAGAAATTCCCATATTCCCCAATGAATACTGTAACATGTTGTCCCTGGACTATGTAGACTTTCTGTCTGGCATGGAAACTACCACAGCAATAACAGACTGCCCTTTTCCGTGCCTGCATTTCTCTGTTTCTGCCATGTTCAAGACAACTAACTCAAGCAATCAAGATTCAAGTTCCCATTTGGTCAAGGAACTCACTGAATAATTTTGAGATCATCATGCTCTCCTGGCCTAACCTACTTGGCAGGTTAGGCGCTGTGAGGACAAAATATGAAAAGGTCATCGTATAAGCCACTTTAAGAAAGCTGAAATATAAAATAAATAAATAAATAAAATGGAACCCATTGCGGGAGCATCATTTGGCTTCTATTCAAGTTACATGCATATTCAGGAGACATATGGGAAACAGCAAAAAATAATTTCCTGTGAATTTTTCTTGGAGACAGGCTTTTGATTCTTTAGAACAAAGTGCTGAATAACAGAAATAATACAATATGTTGTGTAAACTAGATAAGCTTACAGAAAACAGAACAAGAAATAGTTATCATAGACTCAGTTTCAATTATACTGTTCTAACTGATAGATTGTAATGGCTAAGCAACCAGTCTGATTTCTGGACCATTGAGACTAATTATTAGGTATAAGTCAGGCAATAAAATGACACCACCTCATTGAAAATAATCTTAACAACTGCACTGGCTTGATGGCAACCACTTGTTCAAAAATCAGGGTGCTTTCCTCAAGTTCACAGAGTAAAAATAAAATTACTGATTTACTAGAATGAGCTGGCGATACATCTGTTTATAGATAAAGATGATTCTGGCTTTGTCTGCAAATCATTTATTTTGTAAGCCATACACTGCATTCTATTTTGACTTAAATCAAAAAGCATACATTTGATCCACTGAACTGTGAAATTCCATCCAGGAAATGTCCATTTACCGATAAAGCATTGATTTAACCATTGGTTCCAGTAGAAATTAGCTTGGAAAATATTCCAAACTCATTGTCACTGTCCCCTAAATATCAGTTTCAGTTGTGCTCCTTGTCATGTGCTATGCTAAAGAAATGATTTCTTCTCCTAACTGGAGAAATAGAGATGGAAGCTGCAAGTGGTATGAAAATAATATCCAGGAAAGCATCAGCTCCATCCATCAATAGCTACCTGTGGGCATTCTGGACATCAGCTGTTGTCAGACTGTGTTGCTCAGTACCTGTGTTGCCATTTACTACACAAAGGTGAAAATAGTGAATCTGGATCATTGCGCAACAATAAGCAGGTGATTTAATTCATTCATTCAGAATCTGAATTTCCTTGAAACAGAACTGAATTGGTGAAAGTAGTAGATGCAATAATTGCTATAATCTCTCAATGGGACATACTGACTGACAACCTTGGTCAGACTTTCATCAGATCCACAGCCTTTACAGACATGAAGTATAGAAATGAAGATATGAAGGGCAAGAAGTGCCATTTTATCCACAATCATTCAGTTCCTGGACTCAGTGTGCTCAAATATCTTGATGGCGTAGAGCCTCTTAGGTCATGATTTCCTAGGCACAATGTGATGGGGTACAGATTTTGCTGAAGGCCTTTAGACACAAAACCATGGAGGAGGAATCAGCTTCAACTCAACCATAGCAAGACAAAATGGCTCTGGGTTTTTAGCCTCCCTGATTCTGGTTAGGTATTGTCTTTAACTCTTGCCAGGGTTGCACTCCCCCAGACAGAGCTGGTGTGCAATCTGGGAGTCCTCCTGGACACATAGCTCCTGATCGAGGAGCAGGTAACAGTTGTCACTAGGGGAGCCTTTGCACAGATATATCTTGTGTGCCAGTTTTATCCATTCCTGGACCAGGAGGCCTTGCTTACAGTCACTCATGCCCTGGTCATTTCCCAGCTGGATTACTGCAATGTGCTCTACATGGGGCTGCCCTTGAAGACCATCCAGAAATTAAAGCTGGTCCAGAATGTGGCAGCACATACAGTTCTGGGCTCCCACAGTTTGTCCATGTTATACCACTGCTGTGTGAGCTGTAGTGGCTTCCATTTTCTTTCTAGATGTCATTCAAGGTGCTGGCTATCACCTTTAAAGGCCTGAATGGCACAGGGCCAGGTTGTCTGTGGGACCACCTCTTCTCAAGGTATCTGCTCATTCCACTACTTCTGATAGGGTGGGCACGCTCCAGGTTCCTTCTCTCAAATGTTGCCATCTAGTGGGACTGAGGTAGTGTTCTCCTACCTTTTGAAACACCTTACCCGCTGAGATCTTCAAAAGCTGTGAAGACCTAACTTTTCCCAGAAGCATTGGGATAGTGTGAGGCTGGAGCCCAGAAAGGGTTTTTTTGTGGATGTGCAAAGATATGTGGCAGTTGGAAGCATTGAGAGTTTTCTGGATTCGTATTTATGTTTTTATTGCTTTTATTGTTTGTGAACTGCCCAGGGTTATGTTACATAAGATGGATGGCTATATAAATCAAATAAATAAACAAATAAAGTATCAATGTCCTTGATACACTGAGACTGTACAAAATGGAAGTGAAGGGCACATTCAGTTATGATTAAATATGAGAAAATAGGTTACCAGGACTTTAAACCTATCTTCACAACCTTGCATTCTAGCTGACATGAATAATAATTTCAAACAGTAGCAAGAACGTGAGTATTCAGTACTTTGATCACAAACTGAAGACTGCCCTATGCCTGAACACTGTGATGACTTGGAGGACAGGACAGCTCCCTCAATCCACACAGGGCTTTTGCCCCATGAAGTGACAGTTGAAGGTTGGATCATTGTATTACTTTCTTAGCATGCAGTATGAAACTGCATCAGAACATGGAGGGAGACTTAATGGAATGTCTACACTCAAAATCATAGCCATTTAACCAACCTGCTCCTGTAACAGATGGATTCTTACAAATATGCAACAGTTCCCCTGTATTGGAAGGGTCTTTGGCTGAAAGGTGAGGGATGTCAATTTGCACGGGGTGGGGGAGGTCACAAGTCAGAGGAGAAAGAATCTGGCTAGTTAGTGGAAATTTGGGGACATAATGTTTTGTGCACATTTGTGTGCATAGGAGAATATCTATCTATCTATCTATCTATCTATCTATCTATCTATCTATCTATCTACCTACCTACCTACCTACCTACCTACCTACCTACCTACCTATCTGTCGAAGACATTTAAACTCAGTTTCCCATTTTTGAATAATGGGATAAGAGGAAACATTTAGATGAGAGAATGTGTTTGTTTTTAAGCAAAGTTGAAGAAAAGAACTGAAAGGAAAGGAAGGAAGCTAAACACACAGCTGATATTGGCTATGCAAAAACTAAAAAAAAAAAAAGTACCAGACATGAGTAATTCATGGAGGATACAAGTACCAGGTGTTAGTGAGGCAGGAGGAAAAGCCAGAGGTTTCATCTACGTACATGACAGTATTTGTTCTACTCTCTGGTTTTAACCTAAATTAGGGAAACTGAAACATGTGTTCCCCCCCCCCCCCAAAAAAGCTAGGTTCACAGAGGACTGCAGAAAAGAAAAAGCAGCTCCATTGTTAGCTGCAGTTTTTATTTCTTTGCCTTGATAGTGAAGAAATGTAGGATAATATGCATGAGGTGTACATTTTCCACGCCACAGTCTGAATCCTCCATTGCTTATGTTGCCTTCACTTAGGATAAATCATACTTGGTAGGGTAGAAAGAATCAAGGGGGAGGAAGAAATGCTTCCTTAGACCTCTCTCCTTTGTTCTACAAACAAGGCATTGGGAACGCAGTCTGCCTTGACCAAAACTCAGCATTGTTGAAATGCCTGGGCCAGAATTCTGAATTATACAGATTCTGAGGTTATCTTAAATTTATGTTTCCAGAATTAGGAAAGAAATGGCACTTTTTATGGTCCATACTTATTATATCTGAAACTACTGTCTAGCCAATCCAATTATTGGCTCTGTCAAGGGCATATTTTCTTTGAAAGGTTTTGTTTAAGACCATAGGCTGTGGATCTGCATGGTAGGCCAGAAAATGGAAATTCCAAATGTAGCTTCACTTACACATTTTCCTTTTTCATTTGGTGCCCTTCTTGATCCTTTATGAAGAGGATGCCACATCCTATGCTGTGCTTCTATCCCTTCCACCCACCTCTCATTTGCAAAGTTGGCAAAGAACTAAATTGGGATTCAATCTCCCAATTTAAGGGTCAGGAAAAGGCAGCCTGCTGAAAACACACTATCTAAGATAGATATCATGCTGAAAGGAGGAAAATATTGCTATGCCACTCCTTTTCAGGTTTTATTTTAAGGTCTGAAGGCCTATTGATAAATTTAAGCAATTCCATTATAGAGATTATGACCTGCTCTGGCAAGGAGCTGCTGCATACCTAAAACTGATGCAGAAAAGCAATGCCAACACAAAATGTTTTCCTGCCCAAATATCAAATCTGAAGCAAACAGAGAAGCAACAGATCCATATTTCATTTCTGGTGATTGGACTGTGTCCTCCATAAAACTAAGACAATCTGATAGCATTGAGAAGCTGAAGAGTTAGCACTATGTATCATCCAACTGCTTGACCTTCTCTGCTCTTCAGCACCCATTGCCTAAGATGCACTCACTTTGCCCAAGTATAGAGCTGGCCCTGCAGGAAAATGAGAGTTCTTTACAGAAGCTGTTCCTTTACTTACATAGCTGTTCTCAAGCTTCTCCCCTTCTCAGGAGCTATCTACTATGTGACTTACTTTTCTGCTCCAGAAATTAAAGCACTTCTAATATTACGAGTATGCCTTTTAAAATAATGTTTTGGAATACACATGAAGTTGGTGTGCATTAAAATATGTGCATGGTCGGTTTTTGTTTTTGTTTTCTTTCTGAATTTTCAGGTGAAAAAAAGTCTCTGTAAGCTGAGAAGGAAGCAATTCCCTTTTGCAGTCCTTCACTTATACAAACATACAGGCATTAGCTATCAGCTAACAGAATGGTTACTATTCCCCATGCATCAGATGAGGTAAGCTGCAGCACATGAAAGCTTATACCATTTAATAAAATGTGTTAGTCTGAAAAGGTGCTACCAGACTCCATTTGATTTTATTCTCCCCAATATCCTTTATATATTTTCTAAGAATTTCATTTCATCCTGTTTCATTCTTTGCTGTCCAATCAAATAGCAAATTGTATTTCTACATCATTTGGAATATTTAAGGGCCATTTTCAATTTATTCTATAATTCAGAAGAATACTGTAAGCTCTTCCTTCATGAAAAAAATGTTTCTGAATCTCTCTTCCTGTCTACTTCCTCTGTTAAAGTGAATGAGAGGACACCTGCAATTAATAATTAACAAGGTTTCAGGAACATTCAAATGTTATTAGATTACTGAACACGGTAACAAGTTAAGTCTTTCACTGTTTCACCGTTACTTGAAAGATCATGTCTGAATGTGAATTTAATTATATCCCAATTTCCTGGAAGTTTTCTTGGGAAATTAATGAGATGTATTTTTGCTTCAATACTAAGAATCAAGCTTGACTTGGACTTTACATTCCTACATTTAGGGCTGTGCTGCAAAGCAGGATCAAAAGCACCACAAATTTTAGATAACTCCTTGCCCCCATGGGGCAAGAAAGAGTTCCACATAGAAATGTGCATTCTGACTAGGATTACGTTGAATTCAGTTAAACAGGATCATATAGCTAAGATCTAAGTTATAATGCAAGTGTTTAGCTAGAAAAATATAGATAAGGCTTTTATTGGCAATTAACCTGCTTCATTGATGGAATTTTAGAGGCAATGTAATAATTTTATCTTCCATTTTTCCATCCCACTGCCTTTTCCATCTTTTAGTTTTCTTACCAAAAATCTGTTAAGAAAGTATGACAGAGTAGCAGTGCCATGTCTTTGACTGGTAGTACAAAGAGCCCTTCACCTGGGAACATCCACAAAAATAAGGGGATCTTCCATTTCTTTCTTTATCTATTTCCCATGATTCACACAAATGAAGAAATACCAAACTGTAGGTGGTTTGAAGATATTCTTTGAGCCCTTCCACTGGGTAAAAGTAGGAGATACATTTTGCTTTCCCAGAACACCCATAAAGGTGTTGCCACACATTGGATTGCATTACTTGGATAAACTATTTTGCTGAGACTCATCTGCATTTCTGTCCCATTCTGGCCTTCTCCCAGTCTCGGGTTTCTTTGACTGCCTCTGAACCTCAGTGGTGATGGATGAGACCAAACGTGATGGACTAACAGCTTTCATTATCCCCCATGCTGGGTTGGGTGTGGAGATCATTGTAGTCCAACACATCTGGAGGTCACTGAGTTAGAGAAGGTTGGCTCACATGGTTGTCCTGCTCTTCTGGATGGTCCAGGCTCTGCTTTTGCTTTGGGAAGAAGTTCTGGAGAACCGAATGCTCCACATGATTAAATTTTGCCTTCACCCTGCTTTCTCACTCAGCCTCTGCAAATGCACTGAATGCAGCTATTATATCTGATCTGTCCTGGGGGAAAAGAAGAGGAAGCTGGTGGGGTGGAGGATTAAGGAATGAGTATTGATTTCCAGCTCGGCCGTGGCCGTTTTCCATCGATTAAGAGGCCTTTTCTCAAACACACCCCTTCCTTCCCCCTGTCCTTAAGGCTCACAGAAATGCAGGTCATGTCCTTTAAATGAAAAAGACAAACTCCAGTACAGGGAATTCCAGATTTCTTCTGAGCCACTGACGTAGTCTTAAGGCCCTACAAAATTTCCAGCTTTGTTAAGTGACTGGGGAGGGGGCATGTTCCTCCACCCTCCCCGCATCCTCTTTGTTTTTTAAAGGCTTCCGGAAAGCCTCGGCTTCAAGTTAACAACCAGAAATGCCATCGCCCCCGTAAAAGAACGAGAGCAGGCACCGGCGCTGCACCGAGATGCCGGGGGACGTCCAGGTGCTCGCTACAGTCCTCGGGGAACGCAAGCCCAGCACCAGCCAGGAAAAATACCCGCGAAAGGATCCAAAACAACGTTCAACCGCAAGCAGCCTTTCCCTTACGCCCTCTCCACCTCCTCCCTTAATTACTCATGAGAAACGCCATCGGCCGCCCTCGGTAGCAAAGACAAAGGATATTTTTCCACTACGACCTATTTCCTTGTCTTTCACTCTTAACCGCACATCCACTCCCTGCCTCTACTGTAGTTAGCTTTACGATCAACCCGAGGCTGGGGGTGTGTACTGTGGTGCATGCGCAACTGCCTGCAGCTACCGCGTTTCATTCATAAAAAAAAAGGAAAAACACCCGTCTATAGTCATCCTTAACTCTCAATAAGTTCCCTTCCGGCCCCCCATTCATAAAATGAGAGCAGAGCATGCGCCTTGGAACTCCAGTGCCCACCCATTCATAGAATTGGGAGGACAGGCATGCGTAGTAGAGGCCCTTTCCCTCCCATTCATAAAATAGCCATTTTCCCAGGCAGCAGTTGTTGCAACAGCGAAGCGAAGCGAAGGGAAGCGACGGCTTACGCCGCCGCCGCCGCGCCTGACAGCGCAGCACTTGTAGGTTGCTCTCTGAGCCCCGGGTGTGTTTCGTGCCGATTTTAACCTCATCCTTCACCACCCACGTGCAACTACAGCCGGGATCTTTCTCGGATTTAGGATTAACTCGCCTGTTGAGATATGATCTGGACTGGATTGTTGAAAGTAAGTAGGAAAATCATCGCGGGGGGCGGGGAGGAGACGGGGTGAAAGAAGGGAGAATCATTCTACTTCCTCGTCTGATCTTCTGCAGGAAAGGCGCGTGCCCTTAAACTTCTTGATGTATCTTTTAAAAAGAAAACAAGACAAAGCTCTCCTCTTTTTCCATGAATTGTCTCTCCGGAATGGACTGTAATCTAGCCTGATGCTCCTGCGACACAGGCTCGCCCCCGCCCCCCCTCCTTACGCACCCGCCTTATTCAGACAGTTTTAGTCGTACCTGGGCGGTCGCTGGGATTAAGGTCGATCTGTCGGCCGCAGCCCCGCTGTGTCCGCGGGATCAGTCCATACAATCCAAGGGACTTGACTCCCCGGCTTGTAGCCCGGCTGCGCGTGTGAACGTCGAGCTTCTCCCTCTGCGTTTGGCATCTCTGTCCTCCCGCCTCGTTAGCTTGGTGCGGTTCCGGAGCCTTTGCCGGGATCGGAGCACTCGCCCAGCGAAGCCGCAGCTCGCTGCCGGTGACCTTTGCTCTTTTCACTTGCCTTTTATTTCGGGGAACGATCCTGCAATGCCGCCTCTT